TTATTAAAACCGTGGTGTTGGGGGGTTTTCTCGCTGCCATTGTTGTTGTTGTTTTAATAAACGTTGAACTGTGTAACCATTATGAGCGAATGTTTGTAAGCATTCATTTGTTTCTGTTGTTTTTTGGGATACGGGTAAGTAAGAGTATATTAAGCTAAGCAGCAGCGGCAGTGGCAACAACAAGAAGTACGACAACAACAACAACAACGAATAAACGAACGTACAATGGTGTTTGGTAACGCCCCTTTAAATACAGTTATTTCATTGGGCGCAACCACGAAAAAAACTACACACACATGCATGAGAGTGGAATGCACACATACACACGCACAACCACTCTCACTGTTGTTACGCACTCCACTCACTTCAGCAACAACATGTGCTTATTTCGACGCTATTCCATGCCATGTAAATTAGAAAGAAATACTACTACGACTTGGTTACAATGGATGGTAATGGAGATCGTATATGAAGAAAGTGTGGGTTTTTGGGGTTTCTTTTGTTGTTGTTATTATGTTTTCATTTAGGAATTTTCCTATTTATTTGAATAAAAAAATAAAACAGCAGAGAAATATGAAGTGTGAGTAGTTTTGTTACAATTTTTTTCATAAAATTAATTGTGAGAACACAATGACTTGCAGAAATTTGAAATTTATTTTCTAAGGACAGGGAAATTGTTTCGGTCGCTTTCACGAGGACAAATTAAATGAGAGAATAGAGTAAAATTACAGTTTTTAGGTATTTGTATATTATTGTTATTTTTCGAATTAAACGAAATATACATATTATACTTTAAAAACAACAAATTATAAAAACAGTTAAATCCTGCATGTTCTGGCTTTATAGAAAAAATAGGGGATTCACATGACTTTTTGTGTCCTGTAATCATTTCTAAATACTAAAATAAAGGAGGTACCCTTCTATAGTATATTTAATTTTTATGGTCAGCCTAAAGTTTGACTCATACAGGATCTATTGTATGGAATATGGAATGTCACATTTTGGTGAATATGACACCAATATTGGTCGATTTTGAAAATCTTATTAATGTTTTTCGAGTTGACTTTGTAAAATTTGACGGAATATTTGCTGTAAGAAAACATACTTGCAGACTCATGTTAGGTATATACTTCACTTCGTGAGTTGAAATATATTAAAACCGGTGAACAAATGGTAAGTATTTTAGGCGAATCCGACATTTATCGATCTTATTTATATAAAATGTATTAGTGAACATCGATGCAATAATCGGGCAAAAGTGGAAAAGGAAGATGAAAACAAACGAATATCGATTTCTTGTCTTTGAGGATCCTATCGGAAATCTTTGTAGAATATTTGGTTGTCAAAAAATCTGGTCTTAAGGACTTCTTTATGTATTTTAGGGTAAAATATACATCAAATATAACTCAAAAATAGACATATTGTGAATGTCCTCTTCTAGTTGCATAGTGTTGGTACCGATATTTTAGACAAGTACATTGGATCTTACAATGCTGACTATTTTTTAAAAAAAAATTGTTAAACATTTAGAAAACAGCTTAGAAACGTTTTTATTGGTTCGATATTTTAGGAACATAATACTGATTTGATTAATTACGAGCTATATTTGAAGAGAGAGGCTACCATGAAAACACATCTTAAATTATACCTTCAATGAAGGATTTATTCTCTGGATCTTCCATGTATTGATATATGGAGAATCGAATTATCAAAATCCTGTTTAAATCAACCTAATTATAGATAAAATTTAAAGAAAATATTTGAAAAAGTTGGGTCGTCCTTTACATCAAGATGCAAAATTAGTTTTGTAATTAAATTTTTATTTTGTTTTTTTTTTGAAATAATATTTTTTCAAGGGCTAGAAGAGTCAGAAGCGTGGATTGTTAAATAATACTTTGATAAAGAAATATTAAAATAATCTTGGATTTTTTAAAAAAAATATTTTTTGTAAGGACTATATGAAGCGTGGGTTTGTAACTGATATTTTGTTGTAGAACTGTAAATAATATTTTTTGTAAATAATATTTTTTCAAGTACTATAAGAAGTGTGGGTTTTGAAATTATATTTTATTGAAGAGCTATAAGAAGTGCGGATTTCAACAATTATGTTATTGAAGAGCTGTTTTGGAAAGAATTTGAATTTGAGGGACAATAAGAAGTGTGGTTTTTCTGAATTTATTTTTTAAGGGGTGTAAGAACTTTGAGTTTTGAAATAATATATTTTTTAATTACCATAAGAAGTGTGAATCGTAGATTATTAAATAATGCTAACTTTAAGGACTAAATATATTTTTTTAAATAATATGTTATTTAAGGACTAACAGAAGTGTAGATTTTTAAATAATATTTTCTTTAAGGGCTAACAAAAGCGTAGACTTGAATTTCAAATAAAATGTTTTTTAGAGGCTATAAGGGGTTTGAAAAGAATGTTTTGAACGGATTTTTAAATAATATTTTTGACGTAATTATGTTTAAATTATAACTCATATCTTATCGTTAGTTATATTCTTATGGATGAAGAAAGAAAATAAAATTGTTGTACTTTGCAATTCATTTTGTGTTTTTTTAGTGGAATTCGTCTCAAAAGACTTGTTTTTTTTATAAAGACGTCATTATTTTTATAAATACTTTATTATTTCTGTATAGACTTCATTCTTTCATAAAAATATTCCTTTCAGCTCTTCTGTAAAGTATCACTTCCGCTCGTGTTTAAAAAGTGATGCCAATATACCTACGTAATTATGATTACAGCCAATTTTATTTAAAATTAATTTAAAAAACTTCCTAAGAGTTAGCAATATTTAGGAGTTCTTTTGCAAGGTCTTCAATATCATCATATTTTTTATTATGCTGGCTTCTATTTCTATAATATAATGGGACATTTTTAAAAGAATTAAGTTTACTCGTTACTACCAATTCCATTTAATTTTTAAGTCTGGTTTTATTTCCCCATAAACAAAAATATCCAACAAAAATCTGAAAATATTTCTATGTATATTATTTTTTAACTCAGTAGATAATTTTTGATGCATTCATGTCTGAAATAGTTAAATCTAAATCGGATTGAAGGATTTACCCAGCCCTTTGAAACCCCATATTTAATTATTGTTAGTTCCACTTCCTCAATTATTCATAATTATATATTTTTCTTAAAACTGTCATACAGAAGGAACGTCTGATTTTGAATTGAATACATTGAAGTTCGATCTGTCCCACAAAAATAATCTAAATTTTCCACAGAAAATTGTCTCTCTAAATACAATACTTTCATTCAAAAAAGAGTTTAAATGATTTTTTAATAGAATTTTTTGCATTATTTAAATATTAGAAAATGATGATGATGGGATGGATGTGGGGTGTTACCCTCAAATAAGTGTTTTAACCCACAAAAGCGTAGCTAAAGATAGAAAAAAGTGGGAGAGTAGGGCTTAAAATAACAAAAACCCCTTTTTAAGGGGGTTCTTAATTTAAGTCAATGAATGGAAACCTACAAAAAACATACAAATATTTTCTATTAAGAGAAAAAGGACGTAGAACAAATATCCTTTTTACAAAAAAGTGTGCGTGAGCAATAGTTTTTTTGTTTCATTGTGCAAAAAACGCACACAGAAAAAAAACAACAAACAAACATTTACGCAGCAGTGATGCGAGAGAATGTTAGAGCCATTCTCCTTCGGCGTTAGAAAGACAGAGAGAGTAGAGAAATTTGCCTTTGATTCCTTTATGAGAGATTAACCCACACAGTAAATTGTTGTGTTGTTTGTTGTTGGGATTTACATTTGTCATTTCGTGCTCATATATCTCCAAACACCGAGTGTCACTGTGCTGTGTTGTTGTGTGTTTTACTTCCCCTTTGTGCCTAATAAAACGAACAACCAACCACACAAGCAGTCATCTATCTACCTACCTACTTATTTGCTTATGCATGCTCAATGAGCCTAGCCTATGTGTGCTGTGAGAGCACACACACAGTAAAAACAACAACAGCAATACGAACGCGTGCTTGTATCCTGCGGCCAGGTTAGAAAGAGACACACTACTCGGTGTCTCTCTCCGGCGTTCTCTTTCCTACTGCCAGGGGATTAAATGGTGTGTGAATGCTTGCGAGGGTTATTATTATAAAATGCGCAGCTCTCGCCTCTAAACCTCACACTCTCTGCTCTGCCTTCTACAGAGACACAACACTTCACACTCCACTTCTCTTACCCTAAAAAGAACCAAACATAACATAACACAACAAACGAAACCAACCAAATATATACGAAGTGTTCACATTGGAATAACTAGAAGAAGAAGAACAAGAGTAATCATACAACAACAAAAAAACCGAATTTTCTTCTGTCTGTGTGTTTAACAAATTCGTATGGACGTTAGTCAACTCTCTCGCTGCGTTTAAGCATTCAGTCGGCATCGATAATTACCGGTGGACGTATCGTCATCGTGGAACAAAGTCGTTCTTTCGTTTCCTCTTTTAAGGCGAAGCCAAATTAAAGACATCACAAAAAAAAAGAAGTTAATAACACCAAAAGAAACAAAATACAACAAAAAATAATTCTATGCCACTGGCAGCCACTGTTGCCACATTATTGGGAATTATTATTATCATCATCGTCAGCAAGAACAAGAACAAAAATAAAAAAGGCCAGTAGTTCTGTAGCCTTTTTATACGGAAAGTGATTGCAGAAACTTATCGCCAGTGACCAGTAGTGGAAAATTGATTCCTGCAATTAAGACAATTATAGTTATTATAAAACAAAAAGCTTATACGCAAAAAGCTCAAAAGTGTTAAAAAAAGCCCTTGACCATAAGGAGAAAAAAAAAATTGAATTGATAAAAAAATTATTAAAAAACCGTCCAATTTGAAAAAAAAAACTATAACGAAAAAAATGTGTAACAATTAATACAACAAGAACAACAACAAAAAATTACAACAACCCAAAATTTAAACAAAAAACAACATTTTTATTTCCCAACAACAACAACACAACACATCCTTCAACATGATTGATGCAGCCTGCAATTATTTAAATCCCTATGCCACAGCTTCGTTGGCTGCCACCTCCTCATTGGCCCAATTAACAGATTTCACATCGTCATCGGTGGCCAGCAACAACAGCCTAACGTCCGCCTCCTCCGCATCCGCATCATCCTTATACAACAGTAAGGCCACATTGACACCAGCCTCCTCGGTGGCCAGTGCCTCGTCCTCATCCAACTCGGCGATTTCCGCATCCGTGTGCAATCCAATGAAATTGGAAATGCAATATCCGTCACAGCCATCATCGACGGGCTCGGCCTCGCCAAATTCCAGCATACAATCGGCCTCGGCATCATCGGCCTCAGTGTCGCCCAGCATTTTCCCCTCACCCGCCCAGTCATTTGCCTCAATTTCCTCCAGTCCACCAGCATCGGCTACCTCGGCCTCACCTCTATCCGGCTCACATACAGATTTGGGTGCGGCTGCAGCAGCCACGGCTGCCTATTCCTGGAATACGGCAGCAGCCTATACAGCGGCATTGCCATCAAGGTATGTATTCGAAAAAAGATGAAGAAGAAGTAGATATAGAAAAAAACTTGACATTTCCGTTTCCTCTTGTTTTTTATTTAATTTTTTAAATTCATTTACTAATCAAATTTTCCTCTCTTTTCCCTTTCTTGCAGGACACAATTCCCTTATGCCCAATATGCATCAGATTATTATGGCAATGTTGGTATGTCTGCAGCCTCAGCAGCAGCCGGAGCCTGGTTCTCCCATCAAGACCGTTTGTATCAACCCTGGTCGGGACAAACCTATCCCAGCTTCAACTTCGATGATATTGCCTTCCAGACCCAATTGCAAAGACGTTCGGTGCGTTGTACCTGCCCTAACTGCACCAATGAAATGTCCGGATTGCCACCAATTGTTGGACCCGATGAGCGTGGCCGTAAACAACACATTTGCCACATTCCCGGCTGTGAACGTTTGTACGGCAAGGCCTCTCATCTCAAGACCCATTTACGTTGGCACACCGGCGAAAGGCCATTCTTGTGCTTGACTTGCGGCAAAAGGTTTTCTCGCTCCGATGAATTGCAAAGACACGGTCGTACCCACACCAACTACCGGCCCTATGCTTGTCCCATCTGCTCCAAGAAGTTCTCACGTAGCGACCACTTGAGCAAACACAAGAAAACCCATTTCAAGGATAAGAAAAGTAAAAAAGCCATTGCCGCTGAGGCCAAGGAACAAGCGGCCCAGGCCGGCAACACTAACATTAAGCAGGAAAAATCTGCTGAAAATGAAAAATGTAGTCCTGCCAAATCGCCGAGTATGCCGGCGGCAGCCACACCAACTGCTTCGGCAGCCACCACCGTCAAATCGCCACAAGCTCTGCAACAAAGGCTCAACACAAATTCCGCTCAGGGTGTAACCCAACTGCAATTGAAGACCGAACAACCTGAGGCCCCATCCGCCACATCTGCTGTGGGTTACAATCCCTACAGCAATTTGTATCATCAAAGTTCATCCTTGTTCCAGCCTCAATTGAGCAGCAGCAGCTACTCGAACAACAGCTCAGCCGCGGGATTACAACAACAACAAAACACACCGCCAACATTTGATCTATGGAATCAACAACAACAGCAACAACAACAACAAATTAATCATCAACAGCAACAACAACAATCACCAGCAAATTCCTCACCAGCTACCTCAAACCTTGGAAATCTAATGAACTCCAATAACATGACCCAACAACAGCAACAACAATCGCAACAACAACAGCAACATTCCCAACAATATCCTCCCCTAACAATGCAAAATGAAAGTCAGCTGGCCGAATATGGTATTACCATGAGCTCAACTTCACCCTCCCAGAACACTGGTGGTCACTTAAGTCATTCCTCCTCCGCTTCGCATCATCACTACCATCATCCTGCTGCCCATATGCAGCATCATAGCTCTACATATTCAGGACTAATTGGACAAATGAAATCGGAATATCCCAGCTATGCTGATTTTTCGGCCAGCTCATCGGCGGCATATGCTGGAGCTGCCAGTTCGGCATTCCATCATCATCCCCATAATCCATGGGCTGCTGCTGCAGCATATCAACATCCTCATCATGCCACTGCCTAAATGAGAACCCAATCCTCCACATTCGAAATCCTCTAATCTAAAGTGCAAAAATTTAGTTTTTTGTGTTTTTGCGAAAAAACAGAAATCAAGGATTTGAGACGGTTGACCGTTTCGCCATTCCGTTTGCCGTTTTCTAACATTTTCATTTTTGTTCAAAACAAATCATGGCTAATATCCGTTTTAACTCCTCAAAAAAATTCAATTCTAGGCATTTTTTGTAGTATATTGTTGTTGCTTCTATGTGTAGGTTTGTATGTCTGGGGCCACAACATCAACATCGTCATCCCTTAGGAGGGATTTCCTTTGTTCTATGTGAGCCTTTGCTGAATATTTGTTGTTGCTTTTTTGTATTTTATCTATGTAATATATTTTTCATATTATTTCTTTAGAATTAAGTTCATCAATTTTAAGATAATCTTGAAATTGTTGTTTTGTATATAATATTGGCTTATTTTAATTTTTAATTTTAAGTTTTTTTCTTTTATTATTTTTTGTGTATATATCATATATGTATGTATTAAAATTACACCCAGTTTATCTAAGTAAATACTCTTGTTATGTTCATATATATAAAAAATATTAATATTATATTTGTCTTTAAGATATTACAAAAACCAAGAAAAATCATTAAAAATAATAACAATAAAAAATATATAACAAAAAATTTTAACAAAAATTATTATGGTGTTTTTTATTATTGGGATATTTATTCGGGAGCATGGGAAATAAATTCACATAAAATATTTTCAATCCACGCTTCCAGCCTTATGATAGGTATAAAATAAATTTAAAAAAATATATATTTTTTAAAAATCCACGCCTTCTGATTGCAATAAAAACACTTAAAAAAATCTACGTCTAATGATAGGAATGAAAAAATATTTTCCTCGCCTTATGATAGAAATGAACAAAATTTTTCTAAATGTAAAAATATTTTATAAAATCCACGCCTTATGATAGGAATGACGAATATTTTTTAAAAATCCACGTCTTATGATAGAAATAACAAAGTAAAATCAACAAAAATCCACAAAAATTCTAATCCAGACATGAAAAATATTCACGCTTTATCAGTTATGAACAAGTGAAAAAGCGTTATGTTCGGCCGGGCCGAACTTTGGATACCCTCCACCATAGATATACTGACAGGTACTTGAAATGATATAGGGAAAATACAAAAAGTGGACCTATATCGACATTTCTACAAACCGATTATGTAAACCATAATGTAAAATATAAAACAAATTTCAGAGATTTGGTAAGGAGGGTGTATACACTTTGACACAATTAAATGGTTATAGACCGCATGTTTCTTTGGACCAAATTTGTTTCAGAAAATATTATTTCTTCCAAACTTAGTTCAAGTTCGAAGATGGGGAATATCGTTTCACTTCTTCTGGTATTTCCCACACAGGAGCTAGGCCTAAATGCGGGTTATAGTTCATATATAGTTCATTATCGAACCTTACGTTCTATTTTTTGATGTCGATATCCTCCGCAGGAGAAATGATTACAACAGAGCGTCAGAAACAAACCCAAAACGTGGAACAAATCAGCTAACTATTTTAATATAAAAAAGGGGTTATGTGGGGACTACCACAAAAAGGGGGTGAATATCAATAATTTTGGTGGGGAGATTTCTTACCACATTCGACTACAAAATACCAAATTGCAGCGAATTTCGTAGAAAAACGCGCTCAAGAACCCCAAAATACCGATAATTGGGGGTACCCTTATATGGGGGCTATCTGAAAAAATTGACCTATATTTATAATTTTTAGTGGAGAAATTTACTACCCAATAAGAACTCAAAGTACTGAATTACAGCCAATTCGATGAAAAAATGAGACCAAAACCCCCAAAATACTGAAAATTAGGAGGTACCGTTATATGGGGGCTACCAGAAAAAGTGAACCTATATTTATAATTTTTTGTGGAGACATTTAGTACCCCATAAGAACTCAATATACCTCAAAAACCAAAATCGTAGCGAATTTGTTTGAAAAAGTGCCTAAACTCCCCAAAATACCGAATAATGGCGGTACAATTTTATTGGAGCTGTGATAAAAAGTTCACCAATTTTAATCATTTTTGGAAGGAAATGTTTGTAGCCATTGAGGATTTTAAATACGAAATTATAGTTAATTTGATTGATAAACGTACCCATATCCCCTAAAATACGGAATAATTGGGATTTTCGTTATAGAAGCTATCCAACAGAGGGGCCCATTTCGATCATTTTGGTAGGGATATTTGCTATCCAATGGGAAATAAAAGAACCAAATTACACTAAAATCGATTAAAAACCGATTTCCATTCCATTTTCAATACCAAATATCCTAAGATAAGATGAAGGATGAACAAATTTAATATACACTCCACGTTATGGTGGTGTATTAATTTTAAACGGAACGAAAATTAATTATCAGGTACGAACGTTTCTGCAAAAATATTCCAATTCGTTAAGGAAATATGCCTCAAACCTTAAAAATATCTAAAATTTGGAGGGCTCGTTCAAAAAATTACAAAATTTTAATTTTTCCAGATATAAAGTACTTAGAATATTACGTTTCTCAAAAAAGCAAAGAGGGATATAGGAAACATTCGAAAGTACATTTTTAATAGGATAGAGGAGGTGATGCAAATATGGTATAGGTTGGTTATGTGGTATAGTCACTTTTTTGTAAACTGAAAATTTTAGAATAACTGAAACATGTTCTATAGTTTGTTTTTCTCAAAAAAACAAGATAGCAATAATCTGTTTAATTTATTTAAATCACGTTGAGAATCAGTACCAAAAATTAAATTTTTCGTGAAATTGACTTTTTTCGGTTGAAGTTTAAGAATAATTATTTTGTTTTATGGTTGTAATTTAATCGTTATTACTAAGGCATTCAAATAATTAGTATGAACTAGAAATCAAATAAAATGCGCGATTGCACTACATAATCACCAATTTGGGGAAAAAGTAGACATTTCTTCAGTAAACACAAGTGCAGGTAATGTGGTATACCTTGAGTCTGCATGGAAAAAAGCCAGCACTAGACAAAATATCATTACTATTTGAAACATTTAAACTCTACGAGAGTCTACCATGAATTACAAGGATGAAAAACAAAGGATATGAGTTTTAACAACTTCTCCATACAAAAATTAAATATTGCCATGTGTAGACATTATTATATAATAAAAATTAAAGTTCCACTCAACGTATTCGTTAAAAATCTTAACAGATCTCGAGCTAATTCGAAGTGAACATTATACTATACCACAATAACATCGTGTGGTATACCACATTACCTGCACTTTTTTTTAAAATCACTTTTAATGGAATTTAAAATATTTTCTCAAATATCTCTTAAATTTTTAGAATAATATTATTTTCAAATTATTACATGGAAAGACAACACATGCAGCATGTTAAGTGTAAAATTCCAATTTAATCGGATAAAAAATTGGCAATCTAAAAACAAATGGGTATACCACATTTGCATCACCTCCTATATTGTGTTTCTAGAAATTTGGTTTTATTTTATTGTTAGTGAGTTTACTCCTGTCATGTCATACTTCCAGCTTGGTCCTTTCATAGATATTTTGTTCTCATTTAAGGGGACCCCCCATTCTCGGGGTCAAATTTTTTTTGATTTAATTCGATTCTACAATAATTCAAGAATATCCCTACAAAATTTCAAGTGAACATCTCAAGAACTCTTGAAGATATAGTCTATTTATTGTGTCAGCATTTCTTTTGCAAATGGCGGGCACGATAACTCAAAAACTAATAATCCGATCGACTCCAAATTTTGGGACGTTTCTCTGTAAGTGTATAGATATCGTATTAACTAGGATAAGGCCAATCGGTGAAGATCTTCCTTATTTTTTAACTTGGTTTTTGGTAAAAAATCGGTGATTTTCCAAAAATATTTTTTCAAAGGTCCGCCATTGTGTTAATTTTAGAGCGAAGTCAATAATCCTAGTTCATACGAGAGCCAGACATGTACTCTTTCTAACACCGTTGGCATTTTCGGATTCCGATCTTCCAGTAAGGAGTTATCATGCCCGGCATCAAAAATAACGATTTTTCTTTAATTGCAAAAAACAACAACAAAACAATAACAAACATTTTTTGTAAATTATTTTTCTTCTCTTTTAAATCTTCAAATATATATGTGCAAACCTTAACAAGCATTGGTATTGATTTACCAGCCCATTGAAAATCTTGAAAAAATCCCTAAAATACCGAATATTTGGGGGTAAAGTTAAGCAGTGTTGCCAAAACTGTGTCGATAAAAAATGCTACATTTTGTTCAAATGCTAAAAAATAAAAAGATGCCAACTAAAAATGCTAAAAATTTTATAGAAAAAAAAATTAGTAGAATTGGCTGTAATTTGATATTTTGGATTATCATTAGGTAAACATTCCCAAACCCTAAATACTCAATATGGGCCTATGTTTTGGGGTAGGCCCTAAAGAGCAGCATTTAAGGGACGTCGGACACGTTTCCCGTCGAATTGACTATAATTTGAAACTTTTTATGTTAATGTTGTCTCAAATGTTATCACTGAAAATATTATTACCGGTCCACGTTTTTGCGTGGTTTTAGAGAAGGGCATATATGCCGAACATTTTCAATATAGGTGAAGGTTTGCACATAGTCCTCATATTAAAGTACTGCTCTATCTTCTTTATTTTTAAGGTTTTTTTTACACATTTTCTGGGTTCTTGTAGGGTAGGATATATTTATGCGGACACTTTTCTATGAAGGTTTGTGTTTGGACATATCCCCCATATAAAGGTTCCATCATATTTGCTTACTTTTAAGGTTTATAACCTTTTCCTGCGGAGTGGCTATAATTTAAAAATGTGTTTGCCGAAAATTTTGACATAACTCCATTATAAAGTCGGACGCGACCCATTTTCGGTGCTCTAAAGTGAAAAAACTCTTTTCCAGAAATTTTCCGATTTAGGTTCATAATTTTTACATCGCTCCCATACAAAG